TTTATTGTTCCTCGTACGATCAAATGTAACGTAAACTCACTTTTTTTGTGTACTCAAAAAGTGAGTACACTCTAGAATCGGTCAGTGTGTCCGGCCGTCCGTTTACACGATAACTTTTGAAAAGAGAGTCAGATCGCGATGAAATTTTCTACACAGTTCAGTCTTGACAATATCTCGGTCGAGTTCGAAGATGAGAAAAATCCGTCAAGAAATGGCTGAGTTATCGAAAAAATTGTGATTTTTGACCCGACCATCCCTGAGGGGGGGTACGGGGATTTTTCGAAAAAAAATGTTTTGCTCATAATTATTCACAAAATACATAAATCGACTCAGTTTTTAACGCTAATTCTGAATCTGATATTAGTTTTGAACCGAATCATAGTTTTGTGTACTCAAAAAGTGAGTCCACTATAGAATAGTCAGTGTGTCCGTCCGTCTGGTTGGCTGTTTACATGATAACTTTTGACAGCAGGGTCAGATTGCGATGAAACTTTCTACACGCCTTAGTCTTGGCAATATCTCGGTCGAGTTCGAAGATGAGAAGAACCGGCCGAGCCGTTCCTGAGTTATTGCAAAAATATCCATTTTTCCCTATAGCTTTCTGTGGAAAAAAGGACCCATCGCGACTTTCGTAAGACTTTTCCTATCATAGTCAATTAAAACCCCAACTATTATATACCATTCGATAGAGAATTTCAAGAACTACAAAATGATATATAAAACATAAAGAAACAAGAAGGTTGACTTACCAATGACAAGGATAATTAAAGAGAACTAGGTTATATTTTGGTCTACGATCTAATTGATCCACAAATAGAGCTTTATCTTCCGGTCACACTGATGATACTTCGAGGTTTTCAGATATGGAGAACTCGAATGTGTACTGCACTTCCATCGAAATACTATTAGTTGTGCAGTGACCAATAGAAATGAAGTTATAGGAAAAACGACTTTCTTAGGGTAAATCAAGGGAAAGAGTTCAAACTTGAGCTGTATTCGGTCCCATGTCCTATTGGTTTGGCAACGCGCAATAGAAATCAACATTTTAAATGGTAGATTTCACAGTATAATTTTGATATTCAGACAGTCTAGGATGATTGATTTGTATGATTCACTTTTTGAAGTACACATAACTCTCGGATTTAAATCCGAAGTTTCCGCATTTTTCCTATATATAACTCAATAAGCCTATAATTCCTGTATATTACAATCTCTCCGCTTCAACTTTCAGAGCAAATGTTCAGAAAGAAAATATCCGTACATTTGTGACGGAAATTCGTAGCACTACAAATGAATATCATATTAAGGAACCATTCGTCACTTTTACACGGTCGAGATAAGTCGCATCTTATTTTCGTCGGTTACGTACATTTCTTTGTTCAACTCGTCGAATTCATTTATTTGATAAATTACTTATATTACATTATTTTCAAATTATTTTTGAAATTATTATTTAAGTTAATTAGTTCCAGTCGATTCTACGAGTGGTTCATCGTTAATTATGCCTCCCAGAAAAGGAGGAACTAATTTATCCAAACAAGGACAAATTTATGTTAATGGTGAAAATGTAAATCAAGGTCAAACAGCAGTAGCTGATGTTGGAGGAACAATGGCGATGAGTCATATTCCGAGAACAAAGGCATATGCTACAACAAAGACTTCTTCAGGAACAAAGGCAGGCCTGATAAAGCAATCAAATTTTAGCATTGCTCCTCTAATTCTAGAGGGTGTTAAGCTACATAAATTACAATTAAATGATGTTATCAAACAGCATTTAAAGGACTTACGAATATCTGATATTCAGCTAAGTCGATCAGGTCACTTTACAATATATGCAGCTGATGTTAGCTCATTTAATCGTCTATTAAATGAGTTAACACCAATACTTGCAACAAATGGACAGGCTACAGCTAAAATATATGTGCCCCGATCCATTCAACGTATTAAAGATATGGAAAAGGTCGCATTTGTTAAAAATGTCGACATAGAAATTCCTGAAGGTCGAATAACTGAAGCATTGAAGGACGTTGGACTTGATGCTATTGATGTTGTTCGACTAGTGAATAAAACTAAAAATGTTCCTACTAGAACGATCAAGATTACATTTAGTGATCCACATAATCGAAATACATTCGTCCATACTGGTTTACAAGTGGACTCAATGCATTTCATAGCTGAAGCAGCAAATCAAAACACTAAACCTGTACAATGCTTTATATGTCTGCAATACAATCATGTGGCAAAATACTGCAAAACGAAACAGCAGATATGTGCTAGATGTGGTGAAACTCATCGCATTGAACAATGTACTGCTGCTAGTGATTTAATAAAATGCTGCAATTGTAAAGGAAGTCATATAGCAACATCAAATGAATGTGCAACTTATAAGGAACAGGAGAAACGAATTAAAAATCTAGTTAATCAATATTCATCTCCGAATACACCAACGACATCAGCTCCAGCCATTCATGACTTAAACGAATTTCCATTGCTACCAAACCTCTTACAACGTCAACAAGAACACATTCATAATGAATTATTCGATGAAATTATTAATGTATTAAGCAGCAAAATGGAAAAGATTATCGAAGAAACAACCAGCCGACTATTCCAGAAGCTACTTAACAAAATCAAGAAGATCGAAACATTCATCGAAACACAAGATAACAACGTTAAAGATGCCTTGATTATATCGGATTCTGATTCAGAAGAAGAAAGTCAAGTAGTTAAACACATTAGAAACAAGCAAAAACCAAGTGCAGCAATAACCAAATTAACCACCTCAGCAACTGACACATCAAAAAAACCAACAACAACCTCAAATGTAACTTCATCAAAACCACAACGAAAAGTTAAAGAAGTTTCGAAAGCAGCCAAAAGAGTTCGATCACCCAACAGCTCCTTAGATACATCAACATTTGACAGCAAAGATCTCAAAACAAGCAACAACGATGATTAGTGTTTGTCATATTAACATCACCACTATCAGAAAACACAAAGACGAACTCCTTGCTAGATTCTCCAAATACGACGTCATATCTGTAAATGAAACTAATCTGAAAAGAGACCAACCGTTCTCTCTGAAAGGTTACAACATTTTCAGAAACGACCGAGTAGGAAAACCTGGTGGAGGAGTATTACTAGCTGTCAAACAACATATCAAATGTAATGAAATTCTTAGCAAAACTGTTGGAAAAAATGAAATTATAGCTGTGGAAATTGCTACACGTTCATTAAAGAGCGTATTAATTTCTTCGATCTACGTACCACCAACAGCAAAAATCCAGATCAACATCTTTAATGAACTGTACAATTTAAACAACAACTGTATCATAGTAGGCGACCTTAACGCAACATTATACAATATGGGATCAAGAAAAACAAATGCAAGAGGAAGACAGTTACAAGAGGTAATAAATGAAGGTTATTTTAACTGTATTGATGATGTTAGTACCACATATGAAAAGAATGATTATGAAGTAAAGATCGACTGGATATTAGCCAGTCAACCTCTTCATTCATTAATATCAAACGTCGAAACCCACCCAACAATCGGTACATTAAGTGGTCACAAACCATTAACCTTCGATTTACCAATTGGACCTGAACCCAAACCTGCATCTCCAAGATTATCCCTTAACTTCAAAGCAGCAAATTGGCCAAAATTTAGAAATACATTAAATGAACAACTAATACTATGGAACAAACATCGTTATATAAATTCAGAATCAGATATAGAAGAATATACGTCGTTTATTACCAACAGCATTACTACAGCAACACAAGAAGCCATACTAACATCAAAAAAATTGAACACCAACATTAAACTAAGTGAAGCAACCAAACATCTGATCCAGCTCAAACATAAAACTTATCGTAAATGGAAGAAGACTGGAGAAGATAGTGAAAAACAGCAATATTATAAATGTAAGTTGTTACTGACAAATTCACTTAGAAACGACAGAAAAATCAACTTTAACAACCTTATGTCGTCATTATGTCAGAAGAAAATATATTCAGATTCAGTATGGCTTACGGTTCGCAAGTTTCACAACAAGCGAATAAAACAAAGCCACAGTAACAACATCAAATATAACAATGTGACTACAACATCAGATAAGGAAAAAGCCGATCTATTTGCTGGATATTTTCAA